CGATTGGTGGATATCATCGCAGCTGTTCCACCGCAATACCGTCGAGCGCTGGTGCCCAAACTAAAGGCCAAACCCATCCGCACTGCCAGCGGGGTACGTTGTGTTTATTCTGCCGTCCATATCTCTGATATTTCAGGTTAAGGTTCAGTAAGGCTAAAATAAAATGCACTAAGTGGCTCGTTGAGTAATAGTTTGGAGTCACATGTTAGCAGATGTGTGTGTTTATGTCTGGTATAGTATGAGTACAGCGTGCAACGCTGATGGGGTTGAATCCTTCAGCTCAGCTTTAGATGGACAGTGAAGATCTCTCACAATACCTAACAGATTTAATAACTTGTGTTTTTACTGCAGATTGCAGTCGTAGCTGTGATGTGTAAACCTCATCGATGTCCTCACATCAGCTTTACAGGCAACATCTGTGTGTAAGTTTTGCTTTTTGATGAAAATCTGTGAGGAAATATTTAATCTCTGAGCTGTGTCAGTATGAGCAGCATCAGTGTTGTGTAAGTATTTTAGTGGTCACACTGTGGTGCACAGAACAAACCCTGAAGCCAGGCAGATGTAAAAGCTTTGACATGTTTGAGTGCTGACAGGAGTTTATTAATAATCAGTGTTTTGTTTTTCCTCTGGCAGCTACTGTCCTGGTGGACCGGACTCCGACTTTGAGTACTCCACACAGTCTTACACTGGCTACGAGGTGAAGCACCTTGATTTTCATCTACTGTGTTTGCCTGCATGGAAGGTTTGAAGCCTGATGAAGTAAATAAGTTGTCTCCTCAACCCAAACTGGGAGCTGTTTCCACAGCAGCCTCTGCGTCCCATTCTACTGTCAGAAACTCTAAAATCCACAAACAAGCAGAGAGCAACGTGCTCGTTAGAATAAAATGTTATTGCGCGGTCTTTACTGCCTGATCATCCAGGACTTTGTGAGGACAAAGACTTAAAAATGAATTCTGGATTTATCCGGTTTAGAAAAGCTACGGACAAAATCGACTCGTGGCAGCGCTCTCGCTGTGTTTGTGTAGAGACCTTTTACACATGTGCCTCGACACACACGTGTAGCTACATTTGTAGGGAAGTTCACATCACGTTATGAAGTCGTGTTTGAGACTCCCTACAGTGAAGAACCCAGAGGTATAAACCCGTTATAATAATTACAGTAATCCAGCAGTTACAGTTACATGAAGTAGTCCTTCAGCATCATGAGGCAGGATGTTTGCAGAGATATTGTGCAGGTGAACAAGAGCATAACGTTCAGCTTAATGGACACAGAGTGATGCCATCCACATACATCACGTTTTCATATTTTCTGCATTGATACTTTGAGCCATGTTTTTTAATTTAACCAGAAATCGGGTGTGTAAGGTTCTTAGCACAGAACCCTGTGGAACGCCATGTCTGTCTTTATGTAAGCAAACGTTAAACGTCCCTCCTGCTTCTCCCCTCTGACAGCCGACTTCCATGAGAGCCATCCGAGCTCGTTACGACCCCTACCTACAGACCCGACATCGAGTGGAGCAGGTCGGTGATTTTCTACGGTGTACTTTTTAAAAATGGACATTGTTTTGATTATTCGTGTTATTTTGGCTTTTCCTGAAATTACAGAAGCAGGAAGCACCTTAATCAGGTGTTTCGATTGAGCCGCCTGCATTTGGCACATGTGGAGTGTGTCTCTTTATGTCGTCTCTAGATGAGCCGTTTCCACAAATCAGCCGGTGGTGATATATTTAGTGTGCTGTAATGAGTGCCGAGGCTTTCACTGACCCTAATTATGCCATTATTTAAATTTATGGGCCCATTAGTGCTTTGCAGCAGAGCAAAGTCGTTCATTGGAACAGTTCATGTGGGTCTGTTTTTAAACTGG